TATGAGCACCCTGATATTCTATGCATCAGAGAATTTTGTCAGGAAAATTACACTCTCCCCCACCCCCAAAATGGAGTCTTCATTCTAAAATGAGTACTCAGGATGCAATTAAGTTAATTTTACAATTTGAGCTCTGTTTTTCAAAATAAAGTCCCAATTAAACTTTTTTCCCCACTATTAACTATGAAATGTTGATCCCTGGTTCACATGGATTCACTCTGAGTGGCCTTTTCTAGAAGCCACTATTTCCAGACAATGAGATTTCTTGTTCACTTTCCAGCTCAGCAGAATTTTCAAACTGCGGCTATGAGGATGGTGACACGATTCAAAACCACATCATGGGAGAAACAACAGAAGGAAATGAAGCCTGGAGCAGAACACCCTTAGAGGAGACCATGCAGCTGTGTTCACAGGCTGAAAAGCAGAAGTAGGGCCAGGTGGAAACAGTACAGTCATTGCCCTTCAATTTAACAGAAAAGTAACAATCGAAGTTGCCCCAAACCTTGATGCTTTGTCTTGAGAGATATGAGTTTCTGTCACTAGAGCTGTTGAAACACTGATTAGCTCTAAGTCCAGGAGTACCCAGCACAGGTGCCTTCCACTTCAGAGCCCACAGCTAATCAAATGTCTTCCCCTCCCCTAACGCAGCCTTACTCGGTCCCTTCCCCCCATCACTCACTGATCTATTCACTCAAATATTTACTGAGTCCCACACTCAGGGCCAGGCACTGTTCTAGGAGCTGAGGATATTTCAGTTAATAAAACAGAGCAGAATCTTTGCCCCTAAAGTCCTTACACGGTGGAAAGTCAATTCCACCATATTCTGAAGATAACAGGTACAGGCAAAGGAGGGTACTGGTCAGAGTAAGGTAGACTAGGAAGGGAATAGGGGTGGAATTTTAAACAGGGTGGTCAAGACAGGCCTCACTGAGACGGCGGCATTTAAGGGGCTTCATCAAGAGGACAGCATAAGTGAGTTCTAGGAAAATTAATTGCACTGGGGTCTAACCAAGTGGTCACGAGCATGATCCTATCCCTGCCACGTGTTTCTGAAGTCAGTTCCCTCGCAATTAGCCTTTATAGCTGTGCATAAGCAAAAAAGAAAAGCAAAGGCCAAGGAGAGCCCCTGGTCTGGGCCTTGCTCAGACACCTGGACCCAGGCCTTCCCCACATCACAGCAGAGTCCTTGCCCCCAGCGTCATTTATCACCCATGGGAACCCAGCCTCCCATGGAGCTGCCAGAGACCTCAGACTCCCCACGGGCTCCATCTTCATTCAGACAGCACGTTGCCCAGATTCTAAAAACTCTGAAGAGTGGGGGGGTTGCAAAGGTTTATTTCAGAAAATTGGCAGCCAGGCACTGTCACATCTGTTGGAATTCCGGGGCACGAAAAAACATTTGGCAAAAGATAAAAAAACACTCAAACACAACTTGGTTCTAATTTCAAGAATCCTGAGCATCAAAACATACAGGACTTCAGAAAAATACTCAGTAATCCTTTTATTTTCCCTAGTTGCAAAAGACAGCGTTCATTTTCCAACCATCTCTCTCTAAGAGATGACCTCTCCTTTTTCCAGTCGAAGTAGAGCTGTTCTTTTGTTTAACAATGTTGAACTACAAGGCCCAACCTGGCTTAAGAGTTTCCAGCTTTTGGTCCCAGAGAAGGATCAGAAAGAGTATGAGTCCGTCCCTCGGTGAAGGGAAGCAGAACCTGTAGCAGACGTGCTGGTGGATTTCACGCTAAATCGTACACCACACACTTACCGGCTCATTTCAATAAAGGCAGAGCTCTTCCAACAAATACTAAGTGCATTTCGACAGTGTCAAGGACCCAAGCTCTAGAAAGAGGCTGCAGTGAAACAATATCTGGAAAACAGCGCACCCTGAAGAACAGCCCCAGGGACGGGCATATGCTCAGGGCCTAATTACCCGCCAGGTTCAACAAGTGCAATCAGAAAGTGTGGCTGCAGCCAAATGAAAGCCACCGGGACTGCTTCAGCAGGGCTGCTAGGAGACAGCTTAGTGCTTTCTTTTCCAGCAAGGGCTGTTTTCAGGACCTCATATAAGCAAGCCAGCCGGCCAGCAGGACAAAAACACAGAACCTTAGAATTCTACCAGACAAAAAGGGCTTTGAAGTTCCCCTAATCTTGGGAACTAGAGCCTGTGGCCACCCTTGAGAATCTGCCACATCTGTGGCCCAGGTGCTGGGACTTAACCAGCTGGCATGAACTGACTGAGGGCAGGGAAATAACATCAGGGCCCTCACTGGCTGCTCCTGGAATTCACAGGAAACTGAGTTAATAGAAAAGGTCACTCCAGTAATGAGCTTGTAAGATGCCTCCCTGGGGGAGGGATGGTGCAGGCAGCTGCCTGCTTCTCCCCAAAGCCCCACCCGGGCTTCAGACTGAGCACGCAACCAGTGTTTCTGGGCACGGTGCTGCTCAGGCCTGCTGTCCAGGCATAGGTATTAACAGCCTCAGATTTCATTCTCCAAACTGTCAACAGTTTGTTCACTAAGTTATATGGTCCCTCTAAGGAAGGGTGACTGAGTTTCTTAAGAGTATTTTGCTGATCTTACCTACGTCACAGGACACACACTTCTCCAAGGACACCACTGCCCTTGGAATACACAACGTGCAAATCCTCTACATGCCTCCATGTGTACAGAGACCATGAGGGTCCACACTGGAACCAGACTGCTGGGGTTTACATCTTAACCCTCCCACTTCACAGCTGTGAGACTAGGGACAAGTTATTTCACAACTTCCATTTGAAATAAAAAATGAGGATAAAAGTAACTGCTAAGAGGATTAATAAATTAATATTTGTAAAGTGTCTAGAACACTACCTGGCACAGGGTAAGCACTCTCTGAGTGTTTGCTTTTAATACATGAAAATACACGTGCAGTTTTATGTCTAACAAGAAAGTAAATTCCTATAAAGGGATGGTGAAGCAGGGGAGGAAGCCTTTCTCAAAGCAGGGTTTTAGATACCTCCCAACTCAAGGACCTCTCACTAACATAAAACCCCCATGCATGATCCCAGATGGTATCAGAGGGACAGGGTACCAGAGGGTGGGATGGACTGGGACAGCCACTGCCACAAGGCCCCCTTAATTCCAGGTAGTGTATGATGAACTCCATGGCAAATTTATACTTTTAAACCAGCTCAAGCAGAACGAAGACAAAGCAAATGTCCCAGGTTGCAGCCGCAGTCAGCAGCCAGAAGCGAGAAGTTATCAAATGCTCCCTCGATTGTTTCTATGCGCTCCACTCGAAGGGAACCCTTGGCCTCCTCCCAGGCTCCGCAGCTGTAACTGCACATTTATGTATGTGACTCAGGACTTCAAAAGCATCAAAGGTATTCTGATAAAATACATTCAGGGCAAACAATTCAAGATGCAAAATCTCAGATATAAATCCCATGTAATAAAACTCCATGTGATGAATTATAAAGGAATCTGCTTAATTCCTCAGAGAGACATTTCTCCACCACAGATGAAGTGTTTAGGATTATCACCCTCTAAAAGTGGGTTATGCCACACTACCCCCTTGAAAACAAAACTGCCAATCATCCAGCTATTCCGCTGTGTGAAAAGCATCATCTTAGTCACTGAGGTTTCAGTTTTACGTCACACTTCTGCCTGTAAGATCGTTTCAACCTTTCAGACACAATTTGAACCCCTATTAAGATGACAGATAAATTTCTATGCAATAAATCAGCTATTTTGGAAAGAAGTGAGTCCGCAGGCCATTTAGGCTCGGAGCAGAGCACGGTTCCACACAGACTAAAGGCCTGGGAGACGTGGGTGGCACAGACTAGAACGAAGGGAAGGCTCGGTGATTTACACAGAAAGGAGGACAAGTGGAGGCACAGATGCACTCAGGTACGCACACATTTGTTTTCATGTAAACAGTGCTCTCTGAGTCACTTCTCCTTTGTTCCCCACAGCCAGTCGCTGAGAGGATGTGACTTCTAAGATCTTAAAATTCCGAACAAACGGAAAGAACCAAGTGGAGGCGGCGCTCCAGGAAAACATTAAATACCAAGCTAGGGGCGATACTTCCAAAAACAGGAAATCTTGGCTATGGCAGAGCCTGGAGCACAGAGAAACTTCTCCATCAACCTTCTCAAGAGAAGGAAGACTTTTCCTTCAACATTTTGTAACAACTAACTCCACAATAAATGAAGACATGAAGTAGTCATTTCCAGCCCTAATCTTCAACTATTAAGGGAAAAGGTTTATGACTTTCTAAAACAGAGAGGACCGAAGAGAGGTAAGTTACTCTTTACCCGTTGACTTTGACTTCACTAATGCAACCTTCCTTCAAAATAATGACGCTGAGGAGGGAGTTGAACAAACCCTAGCTCAGACGCTACACCTCAGAATTCCACTAGCTCCCACTTAAAGAACCTGCTTGAGAACGAAGCGGGTGGCCCCATCAGGGAACGCAACCTTCCAGCCAGAGCAGTCCCACGAGGGCGGCCGGCCCCGCGCGCACACCCGCCAAGCGGACACTCCGTGGGATTTTCGGCCCGCGTCGCAAGACGCTGCGCCTCATTTTCACAAGCAGTGATGTTTCCTCCTCGTGCCCGTCTCTCCTGCTCCTCCGGCATTCCTACCACATTTCCAACAGCCGCCCCCGCCCTCGCGCCCGGGACCCCCGCGCGGACGCCGCGCCGGGAGACCCCGCACCCCGGCCCCGCGGCGGGCAGGGCTGCGCAGCGCACAAAGGTCACTCCCGGACGCGGCAGCCCGGAGCCAGGAGCGAGACATCAGCCCGCCGCGAGGGGGCTGGCGCGGGGACAGAGGGGAAGCCCAGAAAGGGGCCGAGGACCGGCCGCGGGAGCCTCCCCACCCCTTCCAGCTCGGGACGCACCAGGTCCGCGTGGCTGCGGCTCCCGCCGCTCGGCCACGCGGGCTCTCCCAGAAGGGCCTCCCGGGCACCGCGCCCAGCCCCAGCACCGCGGCGCCACGCCGGCCGCGCCCCGGCCCTACCTCCAGGAGCAGCCCGAGCAGCAGCGCCGCCACCCTCCCAGCCCGGCGGCTCATGGCTCCTCCGCGTCCTCCCCGGACGCCGGCGCGCGGGTGGCGGCCGCTGCGGGCCCTGCGGCGAGCGGGTGGGGAACCCGGACGCGCCGCGCAGCCCCGGCAGCTCCGCCCCCGCCGGCGCGCGCGCCCGACACGCCTGGCCTGGCGCGCGCCCGCGGGCTCCAGCACGCCAGGCCCGGCCCCAGGCTCGGCTGCGGGGCGGGGGCCCACGAGGCCGGGGTGCGCGCGCCCGGGGCGTGGCGGGGCTGCGCGGCGCGGCGAGCGGAGGCCGAGCTGCCGGGCGCCCCTCCCGGAGGAAGACCCAGGAAGGTTTTGCAAAGCCCGTCTCTGAGGTGAGGCTACTTCCGAGGGGGGTGGCTGTGGACAACCCGTCGCTCCGTCCGGCGCCCTGAGGCGGCGCCCTCCCTCGGGTACCCGCGCCCCGCCGGGAAGGGCCCGCCCGAGTGTGACGGGAAGGACAGCCAAAGGCGAGGAAGGCCGACCGAAATAGGGGGCTCCCTCCGCCTCACCTCTCGCTTAGATGTCGGCACTTTTTATGCCGGCATCCTCCTGCCGCGACCTCTTTGGGCTTCACCGCACTTGCCCCCCGCCCCCGAGTCCGCCCTCCCGTTGGGAGAACTGCTGCTGAGTGTGCGGTGTCACTGCCGACCACCCCTCCTCCTCGAAGTCACTGTTTTTCACAAGACAGCTCAGATCCCACTTCATTCATAAGGGTTTTCAACAAGCGTTTGTTGAACTCGAGATGGACTGGACCCTGAGCTGGAGGCCCAGTATCTGGAGGTGGACGAGAAAACTGCACCTGGAGTCTAGAGAGTCACTCAAACCCCCATGTTGCAGAATGCTGAGTGCAGAGACCAGGAGGGGTGAGGATAACGGAGCATAAAGGACGTTCACTACCTGTAACTGGAAGTGGAAGGAGTCGGGTTGTAGAAACAGGTGTCACCTGAGGAAAGGGCCACTTTCCCAGACTTCAAAGCACACACTCATTCGCTGAACACAGAACCTGCACCCCCGGAACTATGCCTGTTGGAACCAGAGCTTGCCGAGTAAGGCAGGAAGGGTGCCTGTGGCCTTCACTGTCGTGCTGGGGCACCGCCTGACACGCCTGCCAAATATCGTTGGACTCGAGTAACTTCGACTCGCTACCATGAGGGCATTTTACAGCTCTTCTTAAGGGAAAAGTTAACTTGTAGAAAACTAAGCTGAAAGCTTGGAAGAGACACAAGTGTTTTCTCCCTATGGCAATGTAAGTGATTTTGTCCTGTAAAAATGCAAATGACTCCGGTTAGGGTTAGAACCATAACCAGTTTTCTATCTAATGTATCAACCTCGTTCCAAGAGTTTTCTTTTCTTTTCCGCATTTTTTCACTGGCTACATGTATGTCAGTTGCCTGCATTCTCCTTTGAAGCAGCTTTGTCATCCTACTGGTTCCCTCTTTAATGGGATAAAATGGAACTTTGGCATATGTTCACTATATATTGATATGCAAATTATGTCTCTGTTACATTTTAAACAATACACTAATGCCAAACATAACCTCCCTCCTGCCTCTGTATCTCCACCTAGAAGACTGTTTTGCTGAGTTCAACTTCCTGGAATTTGTATAAATTTTTTTCAAAGTGTAAAATTAGAATGTTGCCTATGCTTTCGCCTCAGTCTGATACCTCTCCTGTGTGCTCTCTGTCTGGTCCTGAGTGACTGGTGGCTGTTTGGCACAGTTGGAGAATGGGGAAAGGAGCCACCCAGGCTGCTTCCTTGAGCATAAATTATAAGGGCATCAAATATCCCTGAACAAAGTAACAAGATGAAGAAGACTGTATTCACTACAACAGCTTTCAGGGAGGGTATGACTTGGGGTTAGAAGAAATTCTCCGATCAGTTGTTTGGGGCAGGACTGCACATTCCCAGGTCTGCTCAGCTACCCCTAAGGAACGAGGACCCAGAACCTGGGCCATTTATGTTGCCAAAGGAAACAAATAAAAGGGAGACTGGGCTTGACCTGCTGCTGCCCTGCAAAGCTCCATGGAGTCTACCTAAATGATGAACATGTGTTCATTCATTCAGCAAATATTTACCTACACCTGCTGTGGGCAAGGCACCATTCTGGGCATTGAGGATACAGCAGAGGACAAAATAGATGAAGCAGTGGCAAAGAAAGGCAGAGTGGCTGCCCTCACATAGACTTCAATCTAGGGAGAGGTGACAGAACAGAATAAATAAATAAATGTGTGTATGTCAGATGGTGGTAAGTGCCAGGAGGAAAAATAAATTGAGTAAAGCATTTAAGAGTTATGGCTTAGTGTTATTACAAACAGGTGGGTCAGGTCAAGCCCCTAAGGCAGGAACAGAGACCCAGAGGTAGGAAAGAGCCTAACCAGACTCAACTCAAAGGCTGGGAGGCAGGGCAGCTGGAGCCCGGGGACTCCCCAGACAGGATAGTGGGGGTGGAGCCCTATGCTTCCCTATAGGTTGTAGGACCTGAATTCAAAGAGGAAATGGGGGCCCAGTTCTGAAATGGGGGATTTAGTTCTGAAAGAAATGGGATGTCGTTTGAGGACTTTGAGGATCACCCCTAGTGCAGTGTAGAAAACAGACTAGGGCAGGGGTGGGCAGGGCTGAGAGGAGGGCAGACAATGGAAGTGCGCTGAGGGGAAGGCTGGGTCCCGTCCTCACATGCCCTGGTCTCTGCACTCAGTGCTCTGTGTCATGCCGTTCAAGTGACTGGCTTTCCATCTGGTCTCCAGGCAAGGGATGAGGTGGAGGCTCATACCTAAAGGCTAACTTTGATGATGAGTATGGGAAACTAACACCACGTAGCTGTTCTGATTTTTTAAAAAAAATCACAAAAACCTCGAGTGTGTTATCCCGCCCAACACATCTGCAGGATGTTGCCCAAAGGTTAACAGGAATCAGATTTTAGGAATCCTGTTCTAGAAGAACTGCAAGAAAGACCTGACCCTCAGGTAAACAAAGTTACAAGCTCAGAAGAGCTCATAAAAAAAAAGTGATGCGGGTCTGGACAGGCTTGGTGAGGGTTATCTTAAAAGCCTTCTTAAAAGCAGGCGGGTGGAGGAGGGAGTGAAAGGAACCAGCCAGGCCTTACTTCTCCTTTCAACAGACACAGAAAGAAGCCTCAGAACTTCCCCTATCTGACTAAAAGAAGCAACTTCTGGGAAATGAGGCTGCCATAAATTCTCACTTCAGGCCGGTCTTCTCCAGGGAAGAAAACCGAGAATAAGCTCATCATAAATCTCCTCTCTGGGTGCAGTTTCATGGTCATGAAGAAGAGGGGAAAGACCACTACCACTTGCCTAAACATACATTATCACAAACTTTCTTATCTTCCCTTTTTTTTCTCCTGAAACTCCACTTATTTGTCTTTCCTAAAGACACCTATGTGTTTTTCTTGTAGAACAAATTTCTCCCTTTCCCTTTCTACTAAGTTAGATATACTGTGTAAGCCTGGCTAAATTCTTCCTGCTAATCTTCCTTTTGCCATTATACCTACTTATTCTGACTTTTCTCTTAATTTTTTAATTAAAACAACAAAATTTATTAAATGCTAGGGGCAGGAGAGGAAATTTTCAGTAATAAATCTTACACTATACTGTAAGTACCCTTTGAATATGATATAGAATTAAATCATTCAGCAACTCTGGAGAGTAAATATTATACCTTTTTCACACATTAGTCACTCACGATTCAGAGACAAAAAGTAACCTTCTCAAACTTGTCACCTAGTAGGTGGTGCAGCTACACTGAGCTTCATCTGGCTCCAAAGCCCATACATCCTCTCTGCGCTGATGGAGAATTTCCCTTGAGAGCAGTAACCTGGGGAAAGCATTTCCAAACTCGTGAAGTCTTAGGTAAGTTCACCGTAATACTGAAGCCTCTAGACTTTGGTAATGCCTTGTGGGCATGGTTTTATGTCTCCTCCATTCAAAGGAAAATTATAGCCATACTTTTCTTTGGCTCTGTTTGCTACCAGGGAGCTTTTCTCAAAAGTTACTCTCAAGTAATAACCAGAACCAGAGTGTTCATTAGGACTTTCTCTGAGCTTCATGAGCGAATGTCCTTGGATTCATGCTTGGCACCAAAGACCTCAGATGTGTTTTCTAATGACCAGAGAAGCTGGTATCTCTGCACCAGGCAAGAACATCTCCACTCCTTGTGAGTGCTTCCCACCCATTTCATGTGCAGTCAGAGCAGCAGCCTCTTGTTCCTGGGCCAGCAGCCGCAGGGGCTGGCATGTCCAGTTCGGTCAGATGAGGTCTTCTGAGGTGTTTTAAAGGACAAACAACATGACCATTCAGTGGGCGCCTCTCTCTGTTTCACAGTTGGCATCTAACACGGCATTGACATATTTCTTTTTTGCAACCTCTGTTCCTTCTCCTGCCTAAAAACTAAGCTGTGATCACTTAGGTGCGTGTGTACGTCGGATTCATTTTTGTATCCCTGCAACTGGCACAATGACAAGAGTTGAACAGATATTAAAGGAAGAAAGAGTACATGAGAGAAGTGAAAGAAAGAAAGGGGGTTAGGAGTGTGGAGTTTTAGAAATGTGACTTTTAAAGTTCTGCTAAATTCCCTCCTAAGATATCTCTTTGCTAAATTTTATAATCTTAGTGAAATGTCTATGTTATTACTTTGAACAAAAGATTAAAATGTTGGGAAAGATTTTGTTGTCAGAGCTTTAGAAACAGTTTAGCAAATAAAATCCACCCTAATAATCCACTAAAAATTATGCTATTAAAATTGGGCCAAAGCCTAAGTATAGGCTCCTCCCATTGTCCTCTAGTGTCCCCCCGGCCACTCTTCAAAGCCCAGGTCTGCATTGAGGGTCACTGGAAGAGCTGTGTACATTTGATCCAGTGTTTCTTGGTTGTTTGCCTTGATTTGATAGTTTCTGATTAGTATCTACTCTGTCACTTCAGTTCCTTAATGTTATTTTTCACCTTTATATGTCTCCCACAGATAACTCAGAAAAAATCACTATGCTATATAGCCACTGATTCTTTCTTTTTTTTTTCTACTCAGGCAAACTCTCCTGATTAAGGCCAT